GTCACAATAACACCTTGGTTCAATGGGGCCCCACAATGTCACAATGGCCTCCTAGTTCCATGAGGCTGTGAAGAGTCTTAATGGTCTCTCTGTGGCCCCATGAGGCCTTGCAACGTCACAATTATCTCCACAATTTTCCATGATGCCCCACAATGTCACAATGGTCCCTTGGTCTCACATGGCCCCACACTGTCACAGTGATCCCTTGGTCTCACAAAGCTCCACAGTGTCACAATGATCCCTTGGTGTCACAGGGCCCCACAGTGTAATGTTTAATATAAGTTCTTACCTAAGTTAAATATTGTTAAGCATTATTAATCTCTTATATTGCTAAATCATAGGTTATAAATTAGCTTAAACACTATTAAGTGCTGTTCTTTTGCTAAATTGTTAAGTTTACAGTAGAAGTAAATGTTAAGGTGTAAGTTAAGAAATGTTAATTTTGAGCTCTGTTCAGCTTTTAGGCCCTATTCCTTTTATCCTTGCCCTCACTGTCCTTCTGTCACACACACACAACACAGCCATCTCTGTGATGTCAGACAGCCTCCTGTGATGTCACTAAGCCCCCTATAACGTCACACAGCACCCTTGTGATGCCACAGAACCAACTAAGGGATGTCAGCCTGGAGTGTCATACAGCTGCTCTGTGATGTCACAGAAGACTCTGAGATGTCACAAAGTCACCATGTGAGGTCACAGTCTGTTCTGTGATGTCACAGCCTGCTCTATGATGTTCCACAGCCATCTAATGATGTCACAACCCAATCTCTGATGTCACAGAGCCACCCTCTATGATGGCAAAGTCTGCTCCATGGCTTCACACACTACTCTATGATGTCACAGCTGTGAGATGTCACAACCCCCTCAGTGATGTCACAAAACCCTCTCTGTGATGTCATACTGCCACTCTGTAATGTCACAGCACGCAATTTGACCTCACAGCCTTCTCTATGATATCATACAGCCATGTCATGACGTCACAGCTGCTCTGTTATGTCAAAGAATCCCCTCTATGATGCTGTAGCTGCTTGACAACCTCACACAACAAACTCTGTAATGTCACACAGCCCCTTGCTGACATCACAGCTGCTCTGTGCCTCTAGGACACAGCCACAGAGGTGCCACTGTCACACAGCCCCCTCTGGGACATCCCCCAGCCCCTGCCAGTGCTGAGCCCCTGTCAGCTCTGTCTGTGCCCTGCTGGTGTCCCTGAGCTGCCCTGGCAGTGCCCCAGCCCTGCTGGGCTGTGCACAGGAGCTGCTCCTGGCCAGAGCTGTCTCTCTGCAGCACTGCCCTTGCCAGGAGCTGCCTCTGGGCCAGGAGCCTGGCCCAGCTCAGCAGCACAGACACAGCACAAGGACTTTAACCCAAGCCCCTCTGGGGCTTTGGTGCTCTTTGCATCAGACTCAGTCCCTCAGAGTGTGCTCAGAGAACTTCTCAGGGACTCAAAAAGAGAGTGAAACACAGAAGTTTCTCATACTTTAAACCAATCCTTCTGAGGGACAGGACTGAGAAAGTGTCCCCAGGTTGCAGCCAGAGAACAACACTGGAGGCAGTGATGACAGCTGGGGACAAACAAGGCAAAGGTGTCTCTGGTGCTGAGCAAACCTGGATGTGTTTCAGGAATGCAAAGGCCCAAGGCCTGAGAAAGCTTACCTGCTTGTTTAGAAGTTCTTTCAAAGCCTCCTGCCTGCCTCTGCCTGCCCACACAAAGCCTTGGGCTGCTCCAGGCTCCTTCTGGGGGACATGTTGCACCACAGCCCTGCCCTGGCAGGGAAATTCCTTTCTCCTGGTGTCCACTTCGGGCCTCCTCAGCTGCCCCTGGTGCCATTATTGCCTTCTCGTGCTTATATCCTCTATGAAGAAAAGCTCCAGCCTCTCTGAAACCACCCTTCAATTCCTCCCAGGCTATTCCTGTTCTGTCCTGTCTCCACAGCATTGAGAGCCGTGTGCTTCTACCTGCTTGTGGCCTCCAAACCCCATCTTGGGAGATTTTTGTGTCCTCTCCAAAGTATGTGAAAATGGAAAAATAATGGTCAAGGTTGTTTTCTCCTAGATCTTGCAGTGACAGAACAAGGGTCAATGTCTCTGAACTGAATGAGGGCGGTTTTAAATTTCTTAGAAGGAGGAAATATTTTATAACTATGAGAATTGCACAAAACTGCAAATGTTTTTCCAGAGAAGTGGATTCCCCATCCCAGGAATGCTCCAAGATGAGGAACTTTGTGCAACCTGACATAGTGAAACCCCATCCCCTCCCCAAGCACAGAATTCCTGTTGTGTGGGTTCTCTGCTGTGCTGGGTGCCCTCACAACACTTCTGGCCAGAATGTCTGCTGAGGGCAGCCAGGCTGCTGCAGGGGCAGTGACCTCACAGCCATCACCATGGCAGCCCTGACCCCTGGGCCTGGCTCTGCCCTTTCCTCTGCCCCTGCCTTGTCTCTGCTGGCATGAAGAGTTTTGTCATTCATATCTTGTCCCCAGGGTGCTGGGGCCAATGGCTTCCCAGGCAGGCTCCTGGAGCAGAAGTGGCTTTTCAGAGCCCAGGCAGAAATGAGCCCTGAGGCAGCAGCTCTGCAGTGCTGGCCACCAGGCCGGGCTGCCAAGGGAGGCTTCTGGCCATGCCCTGCAAGCAGCTGCTGCTGCCAAGGTGCCTTTGGTGCCTCAGGCTCTCCCTGGCACAGCTCCCAGCACGGCACTCTGCCTTTGTGCCCAAGCCCTTCCCTGTGCTGGGGCTGGCCTGGGGCTTTTCCTGCAGCGGGACCTGCCCTGCTCCTGGCACAGGAAAGGCAGTTCCTGCTGGAGCAGGAGGCTCTGCCTGCAACGGGCTCCAACAACCCCAGCCAGGCCCTGTTTGCAAAGCCCCAGTGGAAAATAAAGGAGGAGGGTCCTACTGATTTTGGGGTGAATAAAGCTGGAACCAGCCTGACTCCTCCATCCTGAAGTTCAATATCCTCAGAGGGAGCTGAAGCTGTGGCAGAAATGGAAAAATTCCTGGAGAAAGGAACAACCAAGTGACACCACTGAAAGCTTCTGCAGAGCTGCTGAGCTGGCCCAACCTGGGCACATCTGATTGACAGGGCAGCACTTCAGGCTGGAAAAGTCCTGACCCAAATTTTATTGGTAGCATCTCCTGACATTTCTCTTCTTGGGATGTGTGGAAATTCTACCCTGCAGTGGGGACACCCCTCAAGATCACGTCTCCAGGTTGAACCAAAGGGATTTGCCCACGGTCATTGGTCTAGGGCAGTGACATCAATCTCTGCTTAATTACTGGTTTTGTTTTAATACAGTTGCTTAGAAATCACTTCCGAGTGCTCTAAATAATAAAATATGTAACAGCTCTTATATCTTGGTGTAAATATTTCTAATTAAGATAATTTTGTCTCATCATTACCATGGTATAAATTTATATAAATATCTCTGTTTTGTTATCCTTAATCCTGGGGGACAAATTCTATAAAGGTTAGATTCCACTTTGATATTTATTTACATATGAAGGCTTGAAAATTCTGGAGATGAGACTGGATCAGCTGCTCCATGGCTGTTCTCACAGAAAGAATTTAGAAAGCCTGGAGGTCCTTGGGGGTATTTGGGTGTGGATATGACAGTGTGGTGAGAGACAGAGAAAGCAAAATAAGTTTCCAATGAATTGGTCAGGGAACTTTAAGGGAGCTGGGGGGAAAGAATTGAATCTATCCACAGGTGGTGTGTATAGTAAGTTGGTTTTTCTCCATAAAGTTGTTTACTGAAGGATATTGTCTTAATTAGCCAATCATGTGTAATGTGTTGACTAAATGACCAATGAGGTCCACCTGTAGCAAACCAAGGTATAAAAGAAGAGGATTGAATAGACAGGTGGCCTTTAGCCCTTAGCTTTCTGGTCTGAGTCTGTGCCATCTCTGACTCAACGGTGACATTTGGGGATCTGTGGGGCTATTGGGGATCCTCTCTGCACGCTGTGTCCTAACAGGAGCTTTTCCAATAAACATTGCCTGAAGCTCCCACTGTGCCCATGACAGGAACCCCTCTGAGTGCTTCTGGGACATCCCAGCACTTTGGCAGCCTGGGGACTCCTGGGATGTCACTGTGGAACCCCAGTCAGTGCCTGTGACAGATCAGTGCCTTTGCAGCCCAAGGTGCCCTGGGATGTCACCATGGAATGGCTGTGACTGCCTCTGAGCACAGGGCCCTTTACCATCCCCAGAAACCCCTGGGAGGTGTCCATGGAGTCCCTGTCTCTGCCTGTGACATTCCAGCTGTTGAACAGCCTGGAGACTCTTGGAAAGTCCCCATGGAACCCCTCTGAGGGCCTGTGACAAATCTGATCCTTAGCAGGCAACCATCACCTGGACCCTGTTGCTATGTGTCATGGGATCCCAGATCCACAGAATTGGCTGAGCTGGGAGGGACCCATCAGGATCCTGGAGTCCAACTGCTGGCCCTGCACAGGACACCCCAACAATGCCAGCCTGGGCCTGGCAGCGCTGTCCAAACGCTGCTGGAGCTCAGAGAGCCCTGGAGCTGGGAGCCTTCCCTGGGGAGCCTGGGCAATCCTGGGATGGGATAAGAACAATTTATTGGGAACAGCAACGAGATAAAGAACAAACAGGAACAGAAACAATACTGCTAACAAAAGGGAAAAGAAAAACTATTTACAGGGAAAACCAAAACACAACTCACTGGGTCATCCTGGCCACATATTTCCGCCTACGTGGCAAGGATACTCTTCTCCCCAGGGAGAGAGAGACCCTTTCCTGCCTCTGGCAATGACCTGAGGAGGGAGTGGATCTAATGACATGGACCTGGCCAGAACCTCATGTTCATTGATCCCACATCATGTCATTGGCAGGGGCAGGAAAAGGGACAGGCGTCTTCCCAGCATGGATTACAGTGAACATGGAACACAGGTCTCTTCCCAGTGTGGATCCTCCAATTGGGTATGAAGCTGGAGCCAGGCACGAAGCTCTCCCTGCAGTTGGGGCATTTACAGGGCTTCATTTACAGGTGCCTCTGTTGGTGTCTGGTTAAGTTAGAACTGTTGGTGAAGCTCTTTCCACACTGGGGACACTTGTAGGGCCTTTCCCCAGTGTGGATGCGCCGGTGGGTGACGAGGTGGGAGTTGTACTTGAAGCCCTCAGGAAAAGGGACAGGCGTCTTCCCAGCATGGATTACAGTGAACATGGATCACAGGTCTCTTCCCAGTGTGGATCCTCCAATTGGGTATGAAGCTGGAGCCAGGCACGAAGCTCTCCCTGCAGTTGGGGCATTTACAGGGCTTCATTTACAGGTGCCTCTGTTGGTGTCTGGTTAAGTTAGAACTGTTGGTGAAGCTCTTTCCACACTGGGGACACTTGTAGGGCCTTTCCCCAGTGTGGATGCGCCGGTGGGTGACGAGGTGGGAGTTGTACTTGAAGCCCTTCCCACAGTCCAGGCAGCGGAAGGGCCTCTCATCAGTGTGAATCCGCTCATGCAGGAGGAGATTGGAGCTGGTGTGAAACCTCTTCCAACACTGGGGACACTCGTAGGGTCTCTCCCCGGTGTGGATGCGTTGGTGGGTCAGAAGGGTGGATCTGTAGCTGAAGCCCTTCCCACACTCCCCACACTCGTAGGGCCATTCCCCGGTGTGGATCATCTGGTGGCTGATCAGGGTGCTGCTCTGCCTGAAGCTCTTCCCACACTCCAAGCACTTGTAGGGCTTCTCCCCATCATGAAGCTCCTCATGGACCATCAGCTCCGAGCTCTGGCTGAAGCTCTGTCCACCTTCCTGGCACAGGGTGGGTCTTTCCTCCTCAGAGCACCCTGGGCTCGGTTTGCAGGCCCTCATCCTGTGGGATCTCTTGGGCTTTACCTCCCTGTTCGATTCCTGTTCCATGGAGTCCTTCAAAACAGATTCTTCCACAAGGTTCTGCTGTGAAGATTTGTCATCTCCAGTCTCCATCCTCAGCTCCTTGTCTGGGGGACGAAGGACAAGGAGTGGATGGGCTTTGCCTCTGTGCCAGAGGGAGAGGGAACGAGACACCCCCAGTGCATCCCCAGCAGGATGGCCAAGGCAGAGGGGTTGTCCTGCAGCCACGGGCCATGCTGAGCTGGGAGATGCAGCAGGAGAGAGGGAGAAAGGGGCACTGACTTCCTCCTCACCTGCCGGGGTGTCCCGGGGCATCTTCCTCTTCCTTGCAGCATCCCCCTCCATCTGGCCAAGGTTTGGGAATGGGAGATCCTGGTCTGGGAGGAAAAAAAATGGGATGAGTACATCAAGTGTTGTATGGGTTTCAAGGTAAACCAGGTGGAGATTCTAAGCCAGAACTACAATTTAATAAGAAAATTAAGATCAAAGCGATGAAACAGAAACACTGCCTTAAACTGACACAGTCAGGATATAACCTGACACCCTGTTGCTCAGGGTGCTGGTAGCAGTCCCATTAAATGGTGGCTGCAGTCCTGTTGCAGTGATGATCGTGATTCTGTCAAAGCAGTGATCCTGTAGAAGGGTCTGGTCTTCCTCTGAAGGTCCAGTGGTGCTTATGGAGCTCTTGTCCTCTGGGAATCCAGTAGGCAAGGTGCTACTGGTATTGCAAGGTTCAACTTATATCCAGGTAGGAATGCTTGGCTCCTCCCCCTGGGCGGAGCATCCCACAATGGGATGATGTCATTTTACCAGTCCTGCAGGGACACTCAACTGTTCAATAAAATCCACTTTGGATTTGGTCTCATTAACACCTTAACTGGGAAAGAGGCATCTCTCTAACAATTTTCTTAACCAGATTGTGACATTATTTTAGGACAGTAAGTTCAGGGCACTGTTCTCTGACCCCAAGTACCTTTGACAACAGCATGGTTCCCTTCTCCGAGGAGTTGTGGCTCTTTCTGGAGGAACTCTTGGAAACTTCGACGCAGCTTCCTCTGAACTGAACATGGGAGAACTGATGAGGAAAATGGCTTTTGTGGGTGGCCAGTGTAAAGAAAATATTTTCTTGTCCTTCCTTGAAAAGTTCATTAAAATCACTGGAGGAAAGAGAGCAAATGTTACCAGCGAGACTGACAAGGTTCATTTACCCCAAGATGAGGAACACAAGGCTGCTGAAAGTCCCACAAGGAGCCCAGCTCCATGAGCTAAATTCCCAAATAATCCCTGAATTCACAGGCTTCAGGGCCTTGCCACGTGTGAGAATATTTTTTCTCTTCATCCCTGTCACTATTGTGACAGCTACACGGAGCTTTCTCTTCCTTTTAATAATCTGTATTGGGCCAAATTTCCACTTTTCTTTTATCGGCACCTGCCAGCAGCTGAGCTGGAACCGATGAAACTTGGAATTGCCACAGAATTGCTTCTATTGTTGGTTTATTAATGTTTGGGTTTTGTTGGCATTTCCATCACAAGTGAGTTGTGGAAAGAGCAAATATTCCTCAAGGCATTTAATGTAGTGTTAAGTTTGATTTCTGCCAAATCTATTTTGTCCACTGCCCAGGGCATGCTTGAGGGGTCTCTGTGCCTCTTGCTCTGGGGGATGCTTGGGAGGGGCTTGGGGGGAATTTTGTCCTTGTCCCTGTCACCCCAGGCCATTCCCCAGGGAGTCTCCATCATTCTCACCCAAGGGAATGCCTGGGGGGTCTCCCTCCCTCTCATCCCTGTGCCAAGGGGGTGCTCGGCCCAGTCTCTGTCCCTCTTAGCCCAGGGGATGCTCGGGGGTCTCTGTCCCCTCGCCCTGGTGGTTGCTGGGGGTCTCTCCATCCCGTTGGCCTCAGGAAATGCTTGTGCAGGGCTGGGGACCAGGGGCTCTGTGTCCCTCTCACCGCTGAGGGTGCTTGGGGGCTCTCTGACCTTCTCATCCCTAGGGAGGCCGGGGTGGTCTCTGTCCCTCTCAGCCCTGGTGTGACCCTGCCCAAACATCACTGGGGTCAGAGGGACAGAGACACCCCCAAACCCCCAGAAGGGCTGAACCTGGGATCATGCTCATAATCTCTTCATCTGTTTAGCCCAGAAATTAGTTCTGCACCTTTAAGGAAGGTTCTGAGAGCAAAGGGAGACAGGAAGTGAGCAGGTTTTTTAAGAAACTGCACTCCTCCGTATTCTGGCTCCTGGACAGACAGATAGCAGGACAGGGCTCTCCTTTGGTTTTAGTTAGTTTTTAGCTCTCTGAGGCAGATACGTGCCCTGGACTGTGGTTTTTCTTTTACTTTAGAGCTGTTTAAACCTGCTCTCAATATCAAGAAGAGCACTGGCAGCTCTACCTGTGGCCCATTGGGCCAAGCCTGGTCCACGGCATTTCCAGTGCTAGAGAAACTGAGAAAAGACTGAGTGAGCAGAGCTACAGCCCACAGAGGGACTTTCTGAGTTTGTCATCTCTTTAGGAGTGGCAAGAAGTTTTATTGTTTAATATTGGTCATTTGCTCTGCTTGTGAATTCCTTGCCTGTTAAATAACCAGGTTTTTCCACTTTTCTCCAAGGAAATCTTTCCCCAAACTGATTGGGGAGAGGCTGCTTGAATTTGCTTTCTAGAGGAAACTCCTTTTGGAGGTTTTCTCCCAAATTTGCCCTAAACTAGGACAGGGTGGTGGGGAGAGGAGGGAGCCCAAAGGGAGGGGAGGGGGGAGGCTGGAGAGAGGGACCCTGGAACCCCAAAATCCCCCACCATCCCATCTCTTCATCTGTTTAGCCCAGAAATTAGTTCTGCACCTTTAAGGAAGGTTCTGAGAGCAAAGGGAGACAGGAAGTGAGCAGGTTTTTTAAGAAACTGCACTCCTCCGTATTCTGGCTCCTGGACAGACAGATAGCAGGACAGGGCTCTCCTTTGGTTTTAGTTAGTTTTTAGCTCTCTGAGGCAGATACGTGCCCTGGACTGTGGTTTTTCTTTTACTTTAGAGCTGTCTAAACCTGCTCTCAATATCAAGAAGAGCACTGGCAGCTCTACCTGTGGCCCATTGGGCCAAGCCTAGTCCACGGCATTTCCAGTGCTGGAGAAACTGATAAGAGACTGAGTGAGCAGAGCTACAGCCCACAGAGGGACTTTCTGAGTTTGTCATCTCTTTAGGAGTGGCAAGAAGTTTTATTGTTTAATATTGGTCATTTGCTCTGCTTGTGAATTCCTTGCCTGTTAAATAACCAGGTTTTTCCACTTTTCTCCAAGGAAATCTTTCCCCAAACTGATTGGGGAGAGGCTGCTTGAATTTGCTTTCTAGAGGAAACTCCTTTTGGAGGTTTTCTCCCAAATTTGCCCTAAACTAGGACAGGGTGGTGGGGAGAGGAGGGAGCCCAAAGTGCCTGGACTGGGGGGAGGCTGGAGAGAGGGACCCTGGAACCCCAAAATCCCCCACCATCCCTAAGCAGGACCCTGGAGAGGGGGGATCCCCAGGACGCATGGGATCCTTGGCAGCCATGAGAGAGGGGACCACCAGAACCCCAGAGGGATGAGACTGGAAATGGGACACTCCTGGTGGCTTTTTTTGATTCACTTTTACTTTTGGAAGGTTTTTACCACGTGACTTCTAGAGATGGACTTGGGCAGAGGCCTTTCAGACACACGGTGCTCATCCCTGGTATCCCTGGTTTTTCCCCAAACCAGGATTTCCCATTCCCAAATCTTGGCCCAATGGAGGAGAAAGCTGCAAGGAAGAGGAAGATGCCCAGAGACACACAGACAGGTGAGGAGGAAGTCAGTGCCCCTTTCCCCCTCTCTCCTGCTCCATCTCCCAGCCCAGCATGGCCACTGGCTACAAGACAACCCCACTGCCAATGCCGTCCTGCTGGGGATGCACTGGGGGATCTCCTTCCCCTTCCCTCTGGCACGGAGGCACATTCACAGGCTCTGGGGCAGGAGGGGGAACCGCGGGTGGTTTGGGGTGCGTGGCTCGGCTGCTCCCGGTGAAAAGGTCTTAGTAAATTCATGCTTGCATAAAATTTGTGGCTGCTATGGGCTTCTCTCAAAACTAAATTACATAAAATCATGACACACTTATTCCATCGTTTTAATCCCTCCAGTAAATCCTTCATGCTGTTATTTCAATCGCTGATTGTTCAACTTTTCAGTGCCTTATTTCCATTAATAGCATCCAAATAAGGTAAATTTTGTTGCATGTATAACTTTTAAGGATATACATTTTTGATTCTGTTACGTTTAATTTAATACAAATTCAGAGTTGATAAGTTTAAGAAAAGTTAAGCTTCATTATTGTTAGATTTGAGCAATGTTAAGTTACATTCTCTTAATTTGAAATCCTGCTGTTCTGGATTGAAAGAAAACGTATGTATTCTATTTGCCATCTGTCAGATGTAGTGCAGTTATCTTCTGTTAATCGGGCAGTAAATTGGACCTCCCAATGACTCCCACAGATCCCAAACACCTGCAAGGACCTCCAACCTTTCTAAACTCCTTCTTGTAAGAGGAGCCTTGGAACAGATGTATCCAATGCCAGTCCCAGACTTTCAAGATTTTGTATGTAAGGAATTATAAAGGTGGAATGAAACCTTTATAGAATTTGTCCCACAGGGTTAAGGATGACAAACCAGAGATATTTCTATAAATATATATTATCTCTGATGGTAATGATTAGACAATGTTATCTTAATCAGACACATTTAATCCTAGGTATAACAGCTGTCATATATTATATATCATATCATGACATATCATATTATATCATATACTAGGAAGTGGTTTCAAAGTAACTGTATTAAAGCAAAACCAGTTATTAAGCAGAGATTGATGTCACTCCCTGTGTTGGTTTGGAAAGACGGGTGTCTGCTAAGGAAGGTAGGAGCCTCTCCTAAAATGTAAAATGTAAACCCCCTCCCTCTGAATTTTTATAAATTTGAAATTAAGGGGCTCTCAGGAAAAAATATGGGAGCAGGAATAACAGTTCTTTATTAGGGAAACAAATAAAAACATAACATAAACAATGCAGTAAAGCAAGACAACACTGACAGAGTGAGCACACAACCTGACACCCTCTTGGTCAGGGTGTTGGTAGCAGTCCAATTGGAATGGTGGCTGCACTCCTCCTGGAGTGTCAGGTGTGGTTCTGTTTGAGCAGGGATCCTGTAGAAAGGTGTAGTCTTCCTCTGAAGATCCAGTGGAAGAGGCAGCTGCTGTTCCTCTAGAAAATCCAGTGGAGAAAGCAGTGCTGGTGTTCCAGAATTTCAAGATTATATCTGGTAGGAATGCTTGGCTCTCCCCTCTGGGCAGAGCATCTCCC